CAGTGGTAATCGACGCCCTATTCAAACATAAGTGGTATGCTTGCTCCAATTTTCAAATATAAGTGGTACCCACTATATTTTACCCTCAAAATGGATGTACTTAGTTGTGGTTTATTTGTGTTCAAAGGTATGTAAAGCGGTGTAGCATTATTAAAAGATTTTTCTTCTACGTGTTCGTAAAAAGAAAATTTTTGTGGTAGATTATTTCGATTACCAGAGATGTTTTCTTTTTCTTGAACTATGTTTTAGACGTTTCATGTGTGACTTTAGTAAACTAGCTAATTTATTATGCTTTTTTTAGGTGAAGGCTAATTTATGACGCTTTTGGGGGGGGGGGGTGTGTGTGTGTGTGTTTGCCCCTCATTTTCTACTTAATTAATTAGAAAGGTCAAAGGGTTTTGCATGAGTTGAGATTACACAATTAGGGGTGGCTATACGTTCCGGTCCGGTTAAATTGGCCCAAATTGATCCGGTTCAGTCCGGTCTTTTTGAAAATATAAGGACCGAAGATTGGATTGGATACAGTCCGGTCTTGATCCGGTCCGGTCCCAATTCGGTCTTGATTTTACATTGAGATTGTGGGATTTGAGTGGCCTAAGGCCTTAAAGGGTGAGTAGTTAGTTAAGTTTGTACTAAGTGCAAAGGTTTGTGACCGTTTATGCAAATTACCCTTAAGTTTTGGGTGTTGAGCTCTCTTATCCGGTCTTTTACCTCAAATCTAAGCCCAAAGATTGGATTGGATTGTTTACTATCCGGTCCCGGTCCGATCTCGATCCGGGTTATACAGTCCGGTTTCCGGTTTTTAATCTGGTCCCGGTCCAAATAGCCACCCCTATACACAACAACAGCAAAGAATGGGCTAAAAGTCTATAGAATCCTTGTGGTATTTGTATATGTAGAGGAAACTTGTTATCAGGGTGTGGGTGTCTGGTTTGGCAAATCTTAATCAGACCGGCCAGGCCATATCGCGAGTTCGGGTTGTCCAACCGAAGCAACAGAGTATCGAACCGATCATCCAAACCCAATTATAGCCAATCGATTCTGCAAAGCACAACCCACCCATTATCAAATCTAACCCAATAGCCAATCCATTCCAGTTCTCCTTGATCCCAAGTCCCTTTCGCTAGTGACCGGCCACCACCAACATGTTTGTCCTCCTTGTCAAGAACCAGTTGACCCATCATCTATTGCCCTCGTCTCAATCCAAGGGCGATTGCCAACCGAATTATAGCTTTGTTCGTAGTCGGTTGAGAGTTTAACCTTTATGTAGTTCGATTTGAACCAATTCGGTATATGAAACTAATTAACCGACCGAGCACCATCCCTGCTTGTTATGCTCTCACTCTTCTTTTATGGGTTATGCTCATGCTCAGTTTCTTGTGTGGCGACAAGGGGAATCAAAATATACAGTTAGGTCGGGACCCTTTCCACTTTTCAGCGATGAATTCTAAGACGAGGGAGCTCTTTCTTTAGGCTGATTCCATTATTATAAGTGGACTCACTAGTCACTAGTCACTAGAAAAATATGCCTTCATGCAAATTTAATATTTGCACAAACCAAGTAATGAGGAGCATTATGTACCATTATTTAATATGTCGTTACAGTCATTGCATGGTTGAATCCAAATAGAAAAAAATAGTCTATAAAGGAGCTTGCAATAGTACCCAATTTAATCATGTTGATTATGTCCTACAAAATGTTTATATCAACAAGCCTGCAACGTTCTGCATTTGCCCCTCCTTTCCTTCACTGTAGTTGCAAATCTGCACCAAACTAAATTATACCTTACGATTAAATACTCTCATTTTGAAGATGAATATACATAGCTAATTTTTCGGGCAGACCAGATTGGTCTGGCAACCTTTCCTGATATACGAGTGTTAGTGAGTGGTATAAGTTCCATTATTGAACCTCTTCCAACAACTCGAGTTATTAGGATCAATTGATTTTTGACATGGTATAAGAGTCTGGTGTGACCAAAAGGTATTGTGCTCGAATTCGGGCGACCTCCATTTGTCAGGCACATGGTCTTCTTGTATTCAGGCATGTGCACTCGAAAACCCTTATGAGTTTACTAGCTTTCGTTTAGGGGGGGGGGGGGTTTAGTGAGTAATATAAGTTCCATGATTGAACCTCTCCCAACAACTCGAGTTATTGGGATCAACTGGTTCTTAGCAGCGAGCTTCACAATAAAGTCAATGTATGAAGTCTGGTATCAGAGAAGTGATACTAGATTGCAACATTCCCATTCTATAGGTACAACATCAAAGGGTCGTTTGGATGGATCAATCTATAAATGAGTCAATTTGATCAATTGTCTCGTTTTATAAACGAGGCAATTAAAACGAGTCAATTCGAATTACCTGCCCCCACCCCAGGTAATTGAAATTGACTCAAAATGGATCAATTCAAAATACCTCAGGCAGATTGACCCATCCAAATTTTTTGCTAGCAAACGAGGCAATTTGGTACAATTGTCTCAAAACGAGACAATTGTGTCAAATTGATCCGTTACAATTCCTCATCCAAACGACCCGTGATTTAGTTGAAGATATGGTGGTGGAGGTGGTAAAGGCACATGACTGCGTCCAGGAGGTCATGAAAGGAGAGAAACTCAAGGTTGCTTTGATGAGAAAGCGTCATCGCCATATGTTGTGTGCTAAAAAATGTTTGCCAAATTACAAGATGTTTTGTGAGCGCCAAGAAAAGTCGACCGTGAGTTTAAACAAGTGTAGTTGATGGGAAGTGTATTTTTTTTTTACTAATAGAAAGAAAGTTGATTAGGCGGTGAGAAGTGTGTTGAATAGTTAAATAGTGAGTAAAAGGTGATAAATGTCTATTAAGGGTGTAACTTTAAGAATAATTTTTCCCCATTAAAGATAAAGTTGTAAAGTGTGATTGTTTTTGTGTGATAAATTTTCAGATTCTTTTAACTTTTAATTGACAGAGTGAATAGTGATATTTAAAGAAAAAATGAGAAAAAAGTGTATGTATTTGTTTTTATTAAAATTTAAATTTGAGAAAAAAGGATGGAAATAAACATGATTTTTCGATATTTGATATTACCAAATACATGTATTATTTCATGGGATTGTGAACGAGATTGATGAATTTCAAGTGTTATTTGATGTTAGGAATTACGATATTGAGATCATTATGTACTAAAATATTGATCAATACCGAATTATAAGCTTTGTGTGTTTTATCCCTCCCAACTAGGATCCCTCGCTCTCTACTACCAGACCCTCAACCACCAAGATAGTCACTTAATAATACATAGCTCATTCCCTCACTATTTGACAATCCATATCAAGCTCATTTGTTACTGTACTATGTCCATGGGTTGCCTAGTCATCTCATTTTTTTAGTTTGTTGTTTTAGTTTGTTAGTGGTTTTCTCAGCTACCACAATTTTCTAGTTTTTTATTATTAATATTATCTTGAGATATTTTCTCATTTGTTTTGCATGAGTGTTGGCACCATTATTTTTATTTGTTTTATATATAATTATATATTGAGAATGGTTTGTGGAGGTGTCGACAGAGAAGAAATATTTGCGTTTGTATATTTGATTTGTGGTTTTGAAGAAATTTAATTTGGTATATACCGCTACCGAACAAAATATCCGGATTTTTGGATACGAATTTCTTTTTGATATCGAGATTGAGTTTAAAATATTATTTAATATTCGAGATTTCAATATTTGACACTTGAATATCAATATCGTACCGATTTTTGCCCCTGACCATATGAATCCGAGATATTTTGCAACAAAAAAACTTAGACAAAGATCCAGGTGCCATTGTATTACAGACGTGGGGGGCCTGTTTTTATAGTAATAACTTTTGGAGTGGAGGGAACACGAAACATAGCATGGGGAAAAAAACAGGGAGGAAAAAAATCTTTCCCTTCTCCTCCATCATTGGCCATCCCTTCTATCATCTCCTAGCAAGCTTCCATTATGGGTTTTTCTTTTTTAGGGTGGCTTCCATTATTGTTAACCATAAATTCGTGTATGCAATTGCAAAGCATTCGGTCCTTAGACCCAAACCACATCTCTCGGTTCGACCCGTTGATTAGATTTGAAGGAATATGAAGTTCGATCGATCCACGGAGGGCCAAGATAGTACCAATTGCGTTATATTTTCGGAGTTTGTTCGAAGTTTTAGATGTATTTTTCAGCATAATTTGTTGCCTAAAAACTGCGCTATATGGGTGTAAAACAGTGTGTATAATTGTACAGTATGGACGGGTCCAATCGAATTAATCTCCTACCGAATTCTAAATCGAGACAATTCTTAGCGGTATGAAACTGTCGTACCGCGATTAAACCGTCATTTCACTACGAAGTACCATATAGCTAACTTTTCCGGGGTACAACCTCCAATACGATTAACATTGTGTAAAGTGAGCGGAACCGTACCATAATACACTCAAGTATCACGCCGTGAATCCCTATCTGGTGAATAGATTTGTACGTACCGACCTAATACCAACATGGAAAAATAACAAAAAAAAAAGGTATAAATCACCTAAATTTGACTTCAATATATAGTTTACAACATTCATTCTGATTGAAGGGTTCTACAACAGTCCGATACGATGGTAGATCGAATCAAACCATAAGAACTACGGTCCAATAGTAAACCAAAAATTTTAGTAATCAAGAGCCAGATCATATTACGTTCGATCCAATTTTAGCCCGATCCAAATATTAACCTGATCAATTTCGTTTCTCAACATTCATAAAATTCACGAAATCAATAACCGTGCCCCATTATATTCAAACACACACAACTAGATGCTAGAGATAGTCACATCGAACCATCGTCACAACATGTGTATAAATGAGTGGATTCTTCATCAACAAAACAACACTCCACAACTTCTCACAACCATCATACGAAGTAAACCAAACCCTTCTTTCTTCCCCACAAACCACCGCACTAAACAACAAAAACAAACTCGAGATCATCAGAAAAGCGCTCATTAATATAATTATGGCAGCTTCAACGACGGCCAAGCTTGATGACAAGAAGGCGTACGGAGCGGTGGTACTGATACAGCTGATCTACGCCGGAATGTTCCTCCTCTCCAAGGCGGCGTTCGACGGCGGCTTCAACACTGCCATCTTCGTCTTCTACCGGCAGGCCTTCGCCGCCGCCGTCGTCGTCCCTCTTGCTCTCTTTTTCGAGTGGTAATTAACGTACTACTCCTCAAATTCTCGTGCATGTGTTCATCGTTGATTCAGTTTAACTGACGTTTTTTTATTTGAATGTTCCAACCTCGGCCGGCGGCGGATAGGAAGCACGCGCCGCCGCTCTCGCTGCCCACCTTCGGCAAGATCTTCGTCCTCTCTCTCTTCGGGTAATGAACAATATCTCATTAACAAAAAAGACCACGAATATTAATTATTTTTCCTTTTTATATTTGGTTGCGTTTAGTTTAGTTTAATTTGATTTGCTTAGTTGATGATTAATTCACTGAAAACTATTGATTTTTTTTCTTCTAAGGTTTGAATTACGGTACAAAATCTAAACTCTGCAAATAGGTACAAAACTCGTGACTTATCACCTCTAATACGAATCATACCATTACTGATATTGATCATATAAGTGGCGGTACAATTCGTATGAGGGTATTAATTCGCGAGATTTTGTATGTTTTTGCAGTTTTGGATTTTGTATAATATTCTTTTATTTAATCTGTTTGATTTTTTTAAGTAATGTACAATACACTCTAATATGGCAAAAATATAAATATAAATATATATATATTAGGCGATCAAGACATACAAACTTTATTGAATTGAATATATGATCTCAAGTAAGTCAAGTGAAGCGACATTTTGGTAAATATCATCATAATATTGATCCAATGATTAGAAACGCATTAAGAAGATGTAGGTACGATGCGACATCAATATCAAATTCAACCCCCCCTCAACATAAATTTTAGCCGTACAACATTTCTAAGCTAAATTTTTAATTAGTTTTATGAATTGATGATTGCAGGATAACGTTGAGCTTGAACATCAATGGGATAGCTTTGATCTACACTTCAGCAACTTTGGGTGCTGCTACTGTTAATTCCCTGCCAGCCATTACTTTCTTCTTGGCTCTTCTATTTGGGTAAAATCTAACTCTTTTATTAATTAATTCTTTTAGTTTTTTTATGGGTGGTTGGTGGATGCTTTAAACATTATAAAAGCTAAAGCTAACGCCTTTAAATCTTAATAAAGCTAAAGTCACACACTTTGAACTAATAATTAGTAATCTAATAAACTTCTTTTGCAATCGGTTGGGATTGGGTCAGGGGACGTAATGAGTGGGGACGTGTAGGTACGAGGTTGGTGTCGTTAATTACTTAGGTCACACTTTTATATATAATATATATATATATATATATATATATATATATATATATGGTGACTACTTCGGTGCACTCATTTTTTTGGGTGCACTAAACGCACTCACTTTCTGGTTTAATCTTGACCCTTCAATATATCAAACGGTTGAGAATAATTAATATATTTCTAATTTATTAATAACTAATAAAGAATACAATATTTATTAAAAGAATTTATAGTTACTGGTAATTGCAATTAAGGACCTAATATTAACTCATTCCCCAAATTCTGATTTCTTCCCATCACAACAAACAGTGCCGATTGGACCGGCGGCGGCCGCGATCTCAGTGTGACAGGCGACGTCGACTCCGAAAACTGAGAACAAACTTCTTGGTTTCTCCGACCATATACCCCTTGTACAACCATCCCTTTTCAATGTTGGAGTCGACGACGGGCAAGAAGCTTCGATGTTGCCGCCGGCGAACGCCTGTAGATGACAGGCATGATCCTGATGTGGATCCCGGAGAACGGATCGGCAAGAAAGCATACATGAGGCCTACCAAATTCCGTTCAAAAATGGAGGAAATTTCCGGATTAAACAGAACTGGAATGAGTCATTACGTGATGGATTAGTTCTGCCCTGCTCAAAATTACCTCCGCCGACGACTTTAACAAACATCACTAGTTTGGGATTGCTATATATATATATATATAAATACATACATTTATTTAACACTTAGACGTGTGAACGAGGGAAATAATTAAGCGCCATCCGGGCATGAAATTTAGAGAGAAGAAATTTCAAAAGCGACGGTTTGTCCCCACTAACGCCGGTAGCAGCCTGCTAAACATTGCGGGCTTGCGTCGAGAATCGAGAGATAGAACAATGAAGGAGGAGACCAACGAAGAAAAGTAATGAATTGGTGAATGATATCTTGATTTGTGCAGCGACTGGTGAGAACTCAAGCTTGACGGAGGCTTGTTCTCAGTTGTCGGAGTTGGAGTCACCGCACGATCACGGCCGCCGCCAGGCCAATTGATCTTCTGTTTTGGTGAGAGCGGCAGTTATAGGAAGAAATAAGAATTTGCGGGATGCGTTACTATTTGGTCCTTAATAGCAATTACCAGTAACTATAAATTCTTTTAATAAATATTGTATTCTTTTTTAGTTAATAATTAATTAGAAATATATTAATTATTCTCAACCGTTAGATATATTGAAGGGTCAAGATTAAATCAGAAAGTGAGTACGTTCAGTGCACCCAAAAAAGTGGGTGCACCGAAGACGCCACCATATATATACTATTCAAGATATGGTAATGTGTAATAAAAAATGGTAATATATATGATGAAACAGTTAAAATCGTTGGGGGTCACAATCCAACAACATCAATACGTGTTTCGTCATTTACGAGCAGCGTAGCAGGATGTATATTGCTTTGATGAAATTGATTGCAATAATTCTGGGTGGTTGGTGATTTATTCATGGGAGTTTTATAATTTTCAGTAATGACAATTAATGAGTCGACTCGTTGGATAGTTTGACCCAATTATTATGATCTATATAGATTTTGGGTGTGACTCAAATGGACTCGTATACACTTAATTGGTTTTGGATTTGAATTTAGTCCAATTTGGGTCAAGTCATTTTGATCTGTCTCAAATAGGTCTATTTGAATCCCCATGATTGGAGACAATAACAACAATCTCATCATTAAGTGCTTTTAATCAAATGCATATTTAATGTTTGTGTTTCCATCTTTCTGTTTGTTTCATAACAAAAACTAAGAAAAAAAATTGCATTAAAATCTAATATCGTGTATGCAAATCAATTTGTAAACAACCTTTCACAATGATGATAAGTTCTTTTACAAGCTTTCACGAATTATGTGTAACAAATCTACAAATAGTATAAAGTGTTATATGCACCCAGGATCTGGGGCATACCAAATTTTGATCCACATGGTTGAATACAAACGTCCTTCACATGGTTTTCTTTTAATTTCCATCCATTTCTAACTTTTGCTTTCTCAAGAAAGGTTACTGTCCTCTTTCAATCAATCATATATATGCATGTGGTCCTCAAACATATATAGCTTCTTTCTCAACTTGTCTTCTAGACAATTAGTTGAGAACACTTTGTGCATATAGCTTCTAACTTACAAAAGTAAAACTATACACGAACAAGGCTTAGTCTAGCGGTTTTATCGTTGATCTTCAACTCGAAAGTTTCAGGTTTGAATCCCTTAAATATTATCTAACAACAATATTAAAACATATATCACCCTGATGAAAAACTCAATCCTATGCATGTTGACTAATTACTATATGTGTATATCTCACACAGGATGGAGACACTAAAGGTGAGGACAAAACCAGGAATGGCAAAACTAGCTGGGATTGTGATATGCATGGGAGGAGTAGCAGCTCTTGCTTTCTACAAAGGCCCCCATTTTAAGGTCTTCTCTTTCTTCAAACATGACCTCCATGGCCAAAGTGAAAACCTTAGCTCTCAAGCACACTCTAGCTCTTCTCATAACACATGGGTCAAGGGTTGTTTCTTGATGCTCTTCTCCAACCTCAGCTGGGGCTTTTGGCTTGTCTTTCAGGTATACTAGCTTCCAGTATTTCTATATGGAATTACGTACTATATAACTTTGTCTGATTATGTGTGTCCGTGGTAGGAGAAATGCGACTTAAAACATTAATAGAACGAGTTATTGAGTCAGTTTGTAATATAATTTCGATTCGGACATGGTTTGGACGATGGAAATTAACTTGTCAAACAGGTCAAATGATATAATGGTTCACTTTGTTGGTCAGGTTTGGGTAGGGTTTGCGCACATGTGAATTGGGTGTGAAAAGATTGCCAACTTTGGTTCATATTTCCATTGATGCACCTTTTTCCTATTTTCATTTGGTTGTTGTAGGCAATACTTCTGAAAAGCTACCCATCAAAGCTTCTCTTTACAGCGCTCCAATGCTTTTTGAGCTCGATCCAGTCCTTGGTGGTGGCAGTTGCCATTGAGAGAAATCCAGAGGCATGGAAGCTTGGCTGGAACATGAAACTTGTGGCCGTGACTTACTGTGTAATAATCAGAGACTAAATTCATAATCATACAACATATATAACTAACCACTCTATTAAGCTGTAAATCAATCTAATTAGTTCATATGTTTTTATAAATGTATTCTTTTTCTCCAGGGAGTTGTGGTGACTGGAGTAACTTACTACTTACAAGCATGGGTTTTGGAGAAGAAAGGTCCGGTCTTTCTCGCCATGTCGACTCCTCTGGCTTTGATCTTCACAATGTTGTGTTCTGCACTACTGGGCGACTTCATCAACCTTGGAAGGTACATACTTTCCTTTTTTTTTTTACTAATACAATGAGTCTTGATGATGCGAGCTTATGCAAATTTCAAGTCTAGGCACACTGATTCTCATACTTAGATAGCGTATGATCAATGGATTATCATAATACTGAATCCACCAACTTAGATATAACAATCTCGTAGGACAAGAGTGTAACGAGAATTCTCGGTAAGGTGGTTTGAAAATTTCAAGGAAATGTATGATAACATAATTTCTATAATCAATTGTTATCAACCCATGACATAATCTTGATTGGATTGGCACATTTCAAGGAAAGCTAGCTAGGTATTCAGTTTCACGGGAAAGAATTCGTGATGAAGCAGAATACAAGTTTGAAACTATATAGCTCCATGGAATTCTACCTCACAAAAACACTACTGATGACTTGGTGAAAAAAATGTTAAAACAATATCGTTTGTGTAGAAACTACTATATATTCTATAGAGTTGAGTATAAGTTCATAAATTACTATATTAATTAACACCCTTAATTAATTAATTAATTTACATATCTACTCAAACTCTGCAAAATCAAAATGGGCCCCGGGGTCCATCTCTTTCTACTCTCCCTCTACCTCTGGTCAAAATGAACTATTCTTAAAAAATCCCCAGTAATACGACATGCTCTTTTTTTCATTCATTCCTGTCGGAGGACGATCATGCTACCGTTGATGACCTATCCAAACCCAAAAGAGTCTATTTATTTTTTTCTTTAACCATGTTCTTGTTTGGTGATGTGTTTCCATAGTGTATTAGGTGGAATGCTTTTGGTTGGAGGACTTTACAGTGTTCTATGGGCAAAAGGCAAAGAAGAGAAAATGAAGATGGATGAGAGTATTGATGAGAAGATGCAGATTCCAGAAGTGGCAAAGGAGAGCTTAGAGCTTAAACAAGTGGTTACAATCATTAGCATCCCCGAGAATCAAGCGCCAAAAACCAATGTTGCTACCACTTAATGCTTGCTTGTCTAGTTGACTACTCAATCAGTAGATTACATGAGCTTTCTGTTTAAGTTGTCTTTTGTAAGGAGTGGGAAAGCATCTCAGTTATAAGATTTTGTGCTAACAGTTGCAGCAGCGGTCAATGATCAAATAGGGGTTCAAAGCGAAGTAGTAGACTGGCTAAATGTGAACGGTAACAATCTATTTTAGTTATATAGTTGTTGTATCCTCGAAGTCTTAATGAAGCAAGATAATTCTTAATCAACTAATCAATTATACTTTCTTACTCCTCTCGTTCCCACGTCGGCTTATTCTTCAATTTTGTTATTGTGCTCACAAGCGCTTTGTGAGAAAGTGCTCACAGGCGTTCAAAGCCGCTGGATCGAACGTGAACGATCCGTGACCGTTGGATTGAAGAGCTTCAAATTTATTTACAATTGTCAATGCTTCAATCTAACGATTGCCAATCGTCGAAGTGTGTCGAGGATAATAATAAGGATAACAAGAGGATGAAACACTGTTTGTATAATTTAGATACTTATTGAATAGATGTCACCATTATAGAAATGGAAGGATAACAAGAGGAGGAAACTCTCGGTCTCTAACTTCGTCAGAGTATCGAGAATTGTTGATATTTATCGGCTCGCCATGCTGAGTTACAAAATAGATGGGGAATATTTTATTATTTTGTTCTTATATTTTCATTGGTGATGTGACACTTATAAATGTTTTTAAGTGATTTGAGAAAAAAGAGACCAAACAAAATAGCAAGTCATCCATCAACCAGCTAACTGCTAAGACCAACTTCAATGCAATACCCCAAATTTGGGGATTGCCTCCATTTTTTACAATTTGGCTTCAATCTACTAACCTCAAATTTGGAGATCTCAATTTTATCCATTTTTACATTTACTTAAAAATGTACTTATCGAAGTCTTAATATAATTCGTTAATTTGTGTATAGTTCGTCATCATTTTAAGATACAAATTTTCCGATAGAATTTTTTCAAATTCCGAGACCGACTTTTTTTGGCGAAAAAATTAATGACCTAATTTTGGTTTATACACAACACTTGAAAATGATAAAGCTAAAGCTAAAGGAGTTCACATAATAATTTAAATGATACAACTTAGAGGTTACACGCAACACTTGCTAATGATAAAGCTTAAAGATAATAAGCATAATTTTTAATAAAATGAATTCAATTTAAGTCATCTTAGAAAATAAAATAAATTAACCAAACTATTAAATATAAATTAAATAGACAACCTTCACTTAATTAATACAAACATTAATTTACTAACCTTCACTTATCAATTACATAACCATCATTAATTAAACACTTAATAAAAAATAAAAAAAGGAAGGGGCTGAACAACCTGCACTGATCCCTTAATTAAATACCTTTCCTTTTTTTCTCTTTAAATAATTCCCTTAATTAAACACCTTTCCTTAATTAAATACCTCATTAATTATCATTATAAAAAAAGAGGTGTTGAACGTGGACAACCGCCAGCCGCTCGCCCACTCTCCATTTTTGCCGCAGTCGGCATTCCCTCCCCCAAAATTGCCGATCAGAAAGCCGATTCCACCTCAAAATTGGCGCCTCCCCCATTTTTGCAGGCTGCGTTGGAGACAGTCTAACGAGCAATGTTGACGGAGCAAAAACTTCAACATACACTTGTCATTTAAAAAAATCAAAGAATATAAATAGCAATTCCGAGAAAGATTGATAATTTTAGTGATATATTCCTATATTAATTTATTGGTCCGCTATTTAATCAACAATTCTCTCATTTGTATCTCTTTTCTTTGAAAAAAGAAAACACATTCAGTGTCATTTATCTTTGTTAAATATATAAAATTGTACCATATTATACAAACCTTCTTATAAAGTATACTCTTCTTATTTCATTCATATATTTCTCAACCTTCTTATAACGTATCTGTGCTTATTCTACGACATTTGTTGATTACTTGGCATCATATTATACAATATAATTCTTGAGCAAATCAAATTGTCTCTGTCATGAAGCGGGGGCCAATAATAATCTAGGACCAACTCACCTCATTTATCTTACTAAAATCATTCCACAATAATGATTTTTTATTGTATTTTTTGATCTTTCGCTATTTTTTATGCTTTCAATTAATATTATGCTAATTAGATTGCTAGACAAATTATAAATCTTGGGTTCGATTCATCAACTTTCCCAATTGGGCATGCGACTTTAGATTGGTGAGCAGGGATGGTAATTTCGACCTGATCCGATTTACCTGATTTGTTTGACCTGTTTTGGTGCGGGGCGGGCATGAGTATTCCTATCGACCCGACCTACCCTAAACCGTCCCATTATCGACCCGTTCTTGCCTAAATTACATGTAATCTTAGTCAAATTACTTAGAATTTTCCTTTTATTGCATCATATTTTAGTTATTATAAAGTAGTGAATTAGTGAAAATCTCAATTTCTCCAATAACTTAACTACATTTTATCATATTATGATTTATTTCTTGGTCTTATAATGAAAATAACAAATTATTTCAAATGAATTCCATATAAATTACATACTCATTGGGTCGACCTACTCCGACTCACGCTCTGTGATAAATTACCCGACCTGGACCTTACCTGCTACAAGGCGGGTATGGGTATTGACATACCCGCCCCGAACGTGCCCATTGTCATTCCTATTGGTGGGTGTTTAAAACGGGCATAGCTAAGTTAGTATTCTTTGGTCAATTGGTTGTAGAAGAGGGAAATTGACACTAATGAACTACATTCCTTTGCTCTTATGGATTTAAGAGAATAATCACGAATACGATAATGGTTACGGAAGAAGTTTATATTCAGACAATGGGAGGCTTCCTAAAATAGAAAAGAGATATGATCTAGAAGAGTCAACATCAGTAGATTTCGGTTGGGTGTCCTCAACTTCAGAATGTTTGAACAATAGTTGATGCAATTGGATTGAAGATAAGAATTGCTCGATCTTTCACCCTCAAGAAATTGAGAGTTGAACTGTCTTGGCCTTAGTCAAGCTTTCTACTGAGGAGCATAGAAAATGCTATAGAGTGGTTGCTTCTAAATCGCTATTTGTATATTAAATCATTTTCTGTAAATTAAGCAACCAAGACCCTTGGCTTCGTGTTCACAGTCCTTGGCTTACCCAAAATTATAAACACTATTGTAACTAATTTGGAATCCAATGTTTTGCATATAACTTAACTTTTTTTAATACATTTATTATATATATACTAGAGTAGGACCGCACTTCGTGGTGGACCGATCAACTTGCGTTCTTGTGATTATATGGAATAAAAAGTGTAACTTATCTTAATTAAAGACGTACTATTAAGTAAAAAGAGTTTGTTTTTCAAATTGGATTGGACAATTAACTAAAAGGTGAGTAATTATGGTTCAATTATTATTCGTTATAAACCCAATGCTGAATTATTATTTAAATAACTATTTATAACTATAAATGAGAAGACATATAAATATAATTTACTAATTAGGGTAGACAAAGAAGGCAGAGATGTAAATAAAGAATAAGTGATCACGGACTGGGAGCCCATATTGTATCTAGGTTGTCCACTAATTTCCTGTAAAGTGTAAACCTTTTCAGTTTTTTACTAAACAGTTTATAATGCTAAAAAGGACAACTAAGGAACTAACAAAAATCATTATGGTTGTGTCAACTGATTTTTTTTGGGTGAGAATCGGCTGATCTTGCTAAGTCCTAATTAAAAATCTCATTGTTGTTCCTTTCATTTTTGTGGAATGTTGTGGTTTTTTTTGTTTTTCTTTCATTCTTACTTCTTTCATGATTTGTTGCTAATTATGGAGCAAACATATAATTGTTTTCAATAAACTTTATATAGACATTGATAAAGGTATGTTTAGGGATTAAAAAAAACCATATGCGTGGATACTCGCCTAAATCCGATAAAATTGGATATGATAAAATTTGAATATGAAGAAATTTTAATAGGCATGGTTAAACCCGAAACTGAACATCATTGGTAAAAGATGACCATGATTTTCTCAATATCGAACCTTAATCCGCCCGATTATACCCATACATATGTATTTGGTTGAAAAAGGATCATTATTTTCTCAATATATTTGATATTTATTATGCATATATAATATTATTATGAAATTGTGTAGTTTTCAACTAATTTTTTTTGTTCTAGTAATTTATCTTTATACATTTTCACTTATATATGTCACTATTCATGAATTTCTTAACTTGTTGTTTAAAGTTATATGGATAAACTATTACACGTGGATAACCATGGATACTCGAAATACCATGGCGCATGAGTATGATTTTGATATTCTACCCTGATTCTTGTGAGTATGAATATAGGTAAAACCCATACTATTTTGAGTAGGATAATGGATACACACTATCTACCCCGACCCCATCCATTGTTCATTCCTATGTGTGTTTTGTGAAAGAGAAAGAAATTATATAGTTTGTGGAATGGGGCAAAGTGTTTAACTAATTTTCTTCTACTAATAATATATTGTTGTACTTTTTGACTTGTGTAATCTTAGTATACATGTAATTGTTAACATGTTTGAAGTTATAAAGATAAATTTGTATACATGAATAATTATGGATACCTGAAAGGTTGAAACCCGATCGCGTAGGATATGATTTAATATTCTACGTATGAATAAAACTCGAACTATTTTGGGTAAAATAATGGAATATATATTATTTACTCAACCCGATCGATTGCCATTCTAGATATGTTTTAATGTCAATGAGCCAAAAATTGAATTGCTTGTGAGATTGCACAATTGGACAAATAAGATCAATTACATTCTTCTCATGAGATAGAATATTCTTCAATATTGTCATACTATGTATGTTCACATTCTTCCATCAAATAAACATGTACTCTACTTTAATCAAAACCTAAGAATAGCTTAGGTAAGGGTAGTGCAAATTAGCATTACTCCTGTACTCTACTTTAATAAAAAACTTAGAGATAATAATTTTATGATTATCCATAGGTTTGGGTAAGATATGGATATTGCTTCCATAATCTAAATGGGTATGGGTTGGATATGGATATCCATTTACTTGAGGGTGTTTTAACTACACATGCAAAAATTGGACCTATTTGTAAAACTTGAAAATTTTAGGTACCAAAATGTAAGACCGAAAAAATTTAGGTACCAAAATGTAATTTTCCATCAATATTTTGAGGACTTATATGCAAAAAAATTAAATTTATGTACTAAATATGAATATCTATTAAGTTTAGATACCAAACTGTAATTTGTATTTGGGCATGAGTACAAACCCAAATCCATTTGTTATAAACCCAACCCAAAGTAAATGGATATGGGTACAAACCCATCAAACTCTACCCATATCAATATATTAGAATTTCATACCCAACCCAATTGGGTTGGATAGTAAAATACCCATGGGTATGGGCAAAATTGACATCCCTAGCCATCGCACCTGCTGCAGGGGCAGGGCACTCTGCCTAACAACTTGATTGATAATAATTAACGGCGCAAAATTGGGATAACATAATAAAATGTAGTTAATCTAGATTCTCATTTATTTATAAATATGTTATTGCCAAATTATAACGCAATAAAAATAAAATCCTAGTTATCTGATTAAAAACAGGTCGAGAGTGGAGGATGTCAAGATGGGTGAAGTCGAGAAGAGTACTCATACCCGCCCGCCCCCATAAGGGTAGGTATTACCCACTTTAAAATAGGTCAAATAGATCGGATAATATGTGTCACATCAAAATTTCCATCCCTATTTTAAAGTGAAAATGACTAAGATTTTATTTGGAGTTGCATGATGCTAAGAAACTATTTACAAGATAGTGGCAGAAGAAGACATCCTCCTCTTTTTCTAAAAATTGAGGTAGTGGAGTGAAAATCATATAAATGACAGTGGGAAATTAGAAATCTCATTAATGAATTCATAGTTTGAAAGATAATAAAAGATGAGAAAGAACACGTCTCCAATAATTATCGCAAATGACTGGGATGAGGTAAATTCATTTTGCATGATAATGATGTTTCATATTTGAATAAGTTTTGCCTTCAATTTGATAGCAATGAAATGAGGAGAATGACCAAGACCATTTTGATGGTGGAGGCATGATTATGAGAAATGATTTACAACTTTATTTACAACTTTTTATAGTTAAATTATAAGGCAATAAAAATAAAATCCTAAGCAATCTATAAAGGGTAGGTATTGCCCAATTTAAAACATGTCAAATAAATTGAATAATATGGGTTAGGTCCAAATTGGCATCCCTATTTGATGAGTTTTTGTAATGACTTATGTAAGAATTTTCAATGCACATTACAAAAAATATCATCTTTTACATGAAACATATGTAACTTATTTAATTATAAGGGTTATATGGTAGCAAAATAATGGGATTATTTAGGCATGAGAATACAAAAAGACGTGTTACAATTATAAAGTGGAGGACAAGTAATATTGCAAAGGTGGAGGATTTTGGACATATGTAATTATTGAATAAGTATTCTCAATCTGACTTCATATCGTGTAGAAAAATTTGAACCTGACTTTGTAATTTTGAAGTGCATAGGTCTAAGATTTTTTTTTTTTGGAGTTGCATGATGTTGAGGAACTATTCCAAAATAGTGGTTTAAGAAGTATTCCTCCTCTTTTTCTAAAAATTGAGGTAATATAGTGAAAATCACATAAAATGACATTGGAAAATTACCTCATGAGTAAATTCATAGTTTGAAAGATAACCAAAGATTGAAAGTTCACATCTCCAACAATTACTGCAAATGATTTGGATGAAGTAAATTTATTTTGCATGATAATGATGTTTCTTTCATATTTGCATTAGTTTTGCCTTCAAATTTGTTAGCAATGAAATTAGGAGAATGACAAAGACCCAATTGATGGTGGAGGCAGTCAAGGCAGTGATACATATAACGATATTGTTAAGAATAAGGAAGAGACATTTGAGAGTAGTGATAGTAAAATTAGTGATGAATATATTTATGCTGTTAATGATTGAGACAATTACTGTTTATAGTTTATATCATTGACGAAAAGTATCCGACCAACGGGCCAGGTCTTTATCTAGTTTATTATATATATATATTGTCGATAGGTCAACTTCTGTCAATTGCTAACTAGGCTGACTTTGTTTTCATTTTTTTCTTTTATTTTGGACACATTCTGGTTATCTTTATTAATATATCCTTACCATTAAAAAAGTCTAGCTTGAACCTTTTGACATTTATATATGCCTATGTTGTGATGAGATGAAATTATTCTTACTTGGAATGAAAGGCAAACTTAGATATCAATATCATACAAAATCAAATAGAAAATTGAAAAATTTCATTAACATTTCATTTTGGGAAAAATTCAAATTTTGAAAATGGGAGTAAGGATACCTTTTTCAACCATTTGAATGCATGAATTAGCTTGAAATTAGCTTCAAATTATATTTCACACTCTCGGACGATGATAATACTTCAAATATTCTACATATCCATCTATTCTCTAGACGTCATTTAGAAGGATTGTCGACAAATTTAAACTGATTGATAGATTAAACATAACATAGAAGTATATACTCAAATATGAACATGCATAATACTATCTTCATTCGGACAACGGCCGAGTTATAAGCTAATATATAAAATTTGTACAAAAAATTCAATTAAATGGGCATTCTCATTTCTCACGGTCCCACCCGACGTGCTTCATCGATATATATTATTATTGAGGAACAATATTGGGCCTGCCCTTTTCCTTTCCCATAAATGGGCCCCAGGATTGAATAGCTTTACCTCATTACACTTGAACCTTAAATTCAGTAGCCGGTCCACACAATTACAGTCGGACCTGTTCGATATGTACATGTGCTCATTTGGGCTAATGAATTTATTCAAAACCAAAATCGGTTCATTTGGTAGTTCGTTATTTGTCGTGTCAAATATTAAAGGAGTTTGACTTTATTTCATAGTATATAATTTGTCCTGCTGGGAAATTGGGAAACTAGATATGTATATTTTCTCTTATTTAGAGTGATAAATGAAAATAAAAATTGATCATGAGTTCATTTTTTTTTTCAAAAGCTCACTTGCATTACCAAGAGAAATAGATACCAATGTTTACAAACCACATAATAACCAAATCCGAAAATCATAACCACAAACACCAGCAGGAAACAAAGAAAGAGTCTTTTTAGCTACCAAATGAGCCGCTCGATTGTTCTCCATGCCTCGAAACCCAACTGAAAATCCTGTGAATAACTCCCGGAGTAGAGATATCTCGTCTAAAATCGCACCACCCCGCCCGTCCCAAGTCACCCGATCCTTGATTTTGGAAATAACAACTTGCGCATCACCCAGGAACGAGACTTCAGTTAAACCCTTCACAGAGCACCAATGAATCGCGTCCCGGAAAGCCATTAGTTCACTCACAAACGGATCTGTCAAACCTGCATACATAAAACCCTGTGCAAACAACATAGTACCCGCTTGATCCTGCACCACCATCCCACCCGCAGCATGGGACCCCACCTTTACTGCGCCATCCACATAACAAACTTAAGGCGTACCAAAATTCGTCTCTACCCTCCCGCGCACTAAATGGGGATTCACCACCACTCCAGAATTAAAATAACAGTATAATTTCTAATCAAATTATTTTAGTAATACAAGTTACAACGAAATACTACAACATGTGTTTCTTTTTTGAAAAAAATAGTAAAGTACACAAAGCGTCTACATTATCCAACAAGTCTCATTCGATATATCTCACTATACAATGAATGCTTATTCAAATATTGAAGCTTGTACTTTTTATGCAAGGCAAATTTGAAAAAACTCTATCGATATTTGTAGTTACAACCGATGAAGTCAATATTGTCCTTCATACGAAAATGGACCAACAATGACTTTGTTTTCAACGTCATAATTGATCTTAGAAGAAACTCGCCGTTCATAATGGTTGTAGCTATCAACGTATTATAGAAGAAACGAGTCAGAAATGGAATGAAAGTTTTGGTATACTAGGGCTTAAATGGACCTTGCTCAAAAGTGGTTGTTAATTTTAACAGGAAATGACTTGAGATATTAACGATAACATTTTGGGCTAATACCATTATAATACCCGAACTATCCTGAAAATGCCACTTGCGTTCTATTGTTTCAAATATTTCATCTGTGTCCTGAACTATTATACTTTGCGCCATTTGTATCCTGTCGATTTTGTTGACATGGCAAAAATGCGGCTGCCATATAGATGCCACATCATTGACACCTCATATTTTTTAATTAAAATTAAATTAAAATTAAAAAAATTTAAATTCAATAGTATTATTAAGCAAACATTTTAAAACAAAATAAAAAAACTCTTCATATTCTTCTTCTTGGTGCAAGATATTTGTTGCGGCGAAACTGAACGAGGTCGCGGAATTCTTCGATGATGGTTTGCCTTCCTCTACTCCCTCTTTTTCCTCTGTGTGTTGCAAAATTGAAGGACTCATTTGAAAGCATTCTCGCTGATTGAGCATAGCCTTTCCATTTGCACCAGTTTAAGCGAATAGTTAAACAGAAAGAGAAATGACGAGGGCAGATAGTTTCAGTAAGGAGGCGGAGGGTATCCCTCTGTACAGAGCCCACAGTGGTTGGGATTTGGATGAAATCCACCGTGTTTCTGGGTTCGGGAAGCAGAACGGAGGGTTAGGAGATGGTGGCGGCCAGGATCGACGGTGGCTGGGATTTCAAATCGATGATGCAAATCTGAAAAACCTCACCGCGGCGAAGGAGGCGGCGAAAGTGAGGAGGAGAGGGCGTTGTGGCCAAAGATTGAATCGGGCGAGGAGGGATGTGACTTTCTCCTACCGTCACTCTAGAAAATGGCCAAGTGTAACCACTTCCTAAAGCGTAGTATAGCGGGTTTGGGTTTTAATGTCAACCCGGGTCCTAAGTGTGATGACTACTCCGTGAGTTCTTATTATTTATCAGTGAAAGTGTAGTGCAGGTCCAAAACAAGCAAACAAGCAAAGCAATTAAAAGGTTGTTTTCAAGTCGAGAGAGGTCACCCGGATATGGTTCCCTCTAGATTGCAGTTAAGCCAGATTGTAATTTACCAAGTTCAATTTCAATGATAGTTATACCACGGGAGGTTCTTAAACTGTCCGCAGTCTCGACTAAAGGTCTCCAGACCCTCTCAATCTGAGTCCCCAGCGGGCGACTAACCTCCACCGGAATAAACAAATTGAGGCCCTAACGAACCAAACCTCCACTACCGAAGTAAATCCGGTACAGAATAGTGAATTGACTCCTCGACTAAAGTCGTCAATTCACTACCTTCAATCAAGGGTGCTCTTTCAACCTAGGCAGATATTCTCTTTCTAGGTTAAAGCAGAAACAACAAGAATTTGATCAGGATTCATGCCATTCAATAAATCAAACCTCAATTGAATATAATCATATCACTGAATCTGTACCTGGGTTCATACAATCAGACCTAACATACAAATCTAGGGTTCTTCATACCCAGGTGAAAGAGAAAGTTACTCCATAGAGAGAGATGGGAAATCTAGCTCAGATGCCGAAACCATACTGTGAAGGATGAGATTCTGCTTCTGGCAATCAATCAGCACTTCTCCAAGCTCAAGCCGGACTCCAATGGTGATGGAGATCGATCTAGGCACTTGAAGAATCAAGTTCGTCACTTTCTCTCTCTAGGTATACGCTTTTTCTCTCTAAAACTCGGGACCCTTCAACTTTGCCCTTCTTTTCCATTAAGAAGTTGTAAATCGCGATCCCCGGTCAGAATACCCGGTCGGGTATTTTAGGCGGAGACCGGGGATTCTTAAACGCACCGTCGCGGATAGGGGATTAATCCCCGGTCAAGGTCAGGAATACCCGACATGTGATTTTTCCTTAATGCCCGGACCCCCCTCTGCTTCTCAAACGACCAAAAGAGGTTTTCCCCGGTCATCTCATATTAATACCCGGCCGGGTATTTTCCTCCTCCAGCACACTTCACCTCAAACGTGCTCCTTTCGACCCGAAACTCGTTTCTTCGCCTCGATGCCAACGCCAAGCCCTGAAATATGACATAAACACACAACCTAGCGTGAAATCGGCTTAAAACACGAGAATCAACATCTCAAACGGCTCAAGAATAGGGTAAAAACATGTGCAATTAACGGTCTATCAAATTCTCCCACACTTAACCGTTTGCATGTCCCCAAGCAAACCTGACTCAAACCAATGCAGCTCTCCAGACCTCTATAGCAACAAACAACCCCGATCGTCGGTAGAGGATTTCCTAGATCATAAAGCAGCTTACGAGGTCAACTGGTCTTCTAAGAAATCCCCTATCTCTCTCAATGCGAGTACTAGACTCAAGCCAAGATCATGAGAAGAAGTGGAAGTAAGACAATCAGTTCATGGATAAAGGGACTCACACCATTCACAACCAAGGACTTGTTGTACCGGGGTGCTCTTGCACTTCATTTCACCGTTAGAACCCCTTTTGCACTTTCATTTACACTTCTTTTTTTCTCCTTCATTCACTTGGAGGGGGTTCCAACTGCAGTCTTCTGCACGACCGACACTTATTAGTCGAGCAAGAGCAATTCTTTTAACTCCTTTTCCTCAACTCATGTGGAGGGTCAATGAAATTAAGGGGGGTCGGAAGCTCTATCCGTGCCCTTAAAAACACATCCTCAAGTAGGCAAACCGTTCAACGGGTAAAAATTTTACTTGTACTAGAGACAATTTAGCTTCACCTTGTAGGAGTACCCCACTAAGGATCACTAAAATCTCTTCCAAAACCCGATTTTGTGTAATGAACGGTGCCACACACGTTGGGCTTACCCCATGTTTAAGATTTCAATGATTTCGACATGGAGGACCAACTGCTTTCCATTTTCCACATGAGCACCCTGTTCGATACACGAGTCCATAACACAATCCAAACAGAGTCACCATTACCACATGAATTCAACGGTCTTAGCTCCACTAATTCACAAAATCAACTGGCACAACAGAGAGCTAGATATGAAAAATCTTATACTTAAACATCCTCCATAGTGCTATACTACCTTCCTAGGTTTCACATTACTATAGAGACTGTCAATTCAAAGCATACTGAGCAAGCAATTTTCAAGGAAACACATAATTGGAGCCCTCAAATTGAAATTTGGACAGTGGACTAGGCTCCAAGCACACAAACATATCTAATGCAGTCAAAAGAGAAACATCCCCCTCCCTACACTTAAGATCGACATTGCCCTCAATGGAGAAGAGGGAAGGATAAGGGGAACGATGTTACCGGTGTACACGGACTGCATGAGACTGGATAGGGACCAGTCTGAGTGAAGAGGACTGGAAATGGGACCAGTCGGTGCAAAGGCACAGCTAAAGGGAACATAAGAACTCAAACACAATATGTTAGGTCCAATGGTCAGCCCAATAGTACATCATCCAAAAGAAAAAGAAAACAAACCATGGTGGGGTTGCCTCCCCACAAGTCCTTCTTTACCGTCTTTTAGCTGGATGCCCATGGTGGATACTCAGAGGGGTGCAGGAACAGGTGCCTCCAAGAGCAGATCCACATCACTCTTGAGGTACAGCTTCAAATGGTCGCCATGCACCCAACGGGTGCGACCACCAGCATTGGTCAGCTCGACCTGGCCATCCGACAGGATGCAAGTGAGTGAATACTCGGATGGCCAGGGTGGTCGTGGTTCAGGAGGTGGGACCAGCTCATAGTGGTAGCCACCTTTCTTCCGAGCAGGCTTAGCCACCTGCGGCTTCGGGCGCCACTCCTCCTTGATCTTTTTGTTTGGCGGTGAGGTTGAAGGGAGTGGCGGCGAAGGCGTGAGAGAGGGATCCTGCAAAATGAGAGGCACAGAAGGGTACACGACAGACTCGTGCAGCTGATGAGAAATAGCATGCATGGGCGAGGTAGCAGGCATATTATTATTGGCAATAAAGAAAGTTATCTGCTCCTCACCATCTCTCAAAACCAAAGTCCCATCACGGACATCTATTAGGGCCCTGGCGGTGGCCAGGAAGGGCCGTCCTAGAATAAGGGGCACGTCTGTGTCTTCGTTGATGTCCAAAACAACAAAATCCACAGGATAACAAAATCTGCCAACCTTAACTAGGAGGTCCTCCACTATGCCCCTAGGATGAACCACAGATTGGTCAGCTAATTGAATACTCATCCTAGTTGCGCTGGGTTCACATAGGCCTAGTTTTTTGAACAATTTGTATGGAATAACATTTATACTAGCACCTAGATCCGCCAAGGACCTCTCTACATGTAAGTTGCCTCGATCCTTCTGCTTCTCTGGCAACTTGCTTTACAGAATGGCCGAGCACTCCTCGCCCAGCATCACTGTTGAGAGATCCCCAAGTCGCGTTTTGTTGGTAAGTAGCTCCTTCATGAATTTAGCGTACTTGGGCATCTTCGATAGTGCCTCCACGAATGGCAGGCTGATGTCAACCTGCTTCAGCATTGCTATGTATTTGGCAAACTCAGTCTCTAGCTTATCTTTGTGGATTCGAGTGAGGAAAGAAAGCTGGGGGAACGTACTCCTTAACCACTGGTTGTGGTTTGGGAGCAGGTGTTGCCTTCTCCATCCCCACTTATGCATCGTTGGTCGGAAGTGCTGAAGCAGGTAGTGGCTCTTCCTGCCTGGCCGGGGCAGGTACCGCCGATGTGGTCTTGCCACTCCTGGTGGTGATGACATTCAGCTTCTGGTGCGGCTCCTGTGGATTGGGGATGGTAGTGGCAGGTAGAGTTCCCGGTGCCCGGGTATTGTTCTGACTAGATATTCCTCCAAGCTGATGTTGGAGGTCCTGCAGTATGGCACCTTAGTTCCTCCAACCCACCTTCAGCGAGGCGATGCTTTGGTCTATCCTGGTAAAATTCGTCTGGCTGGTAGTCATGAATGCCGCCAAAATGTTCTTCAGCTCGGTCATCTGATTATCTGGAGCTGGAGCTGCTGCTGGCTCGACATATTGGCGCTGCGGTTGCTGGAATGGTTGCCCTTGTCTGGACGGGTAAGCCTGCTGCTGTGGAACGAGCCCCTGTCTGGCCTGGAAAGGCTGCCTCTGCTGAAAACCACCAGCTGGTGCTGGGAAACCAGGTGGTTTGGCGGTGTTGCCATTCCAAGAGAAGTTGGGATGCTGGCGCCACCCCTCATTGAATGTATTACTGTATGGATCAAGGCGCCGAGCATTGGCGATGAAGTCCAACTGCTCCTGGGGTGTAGATAACTCCCGCATAGCCTGGCAGTCTTCCACCAGATGTTTCGAGCTCTCACACCACTAACATTGAGCTACTGGAGGTCCGCCCAGACCTCTGCCCGAAATAAGACTGTTGGGCTGCTTCAATGTCTGCACTAACTCGGCCACCTCCCGCTCTAGCCCAGACCTGGCCTCCATGGAGTGCACACCACGATCCCGGGAATTCCTGTCTCTAGTGCTCTGCCCCCAGGAATGATCTCTGGCAGCCAAGGTACTGATCCTCTGGTTCAGTTCGGGTGGAGTCTTAGTGAGAATATCCCCTCCTGGGCATAGAGACTCAATCACCCTCTGGCTTTCCGGAGACAGATCACTATAGAAGTTCCCCACAGGGAATGCATCACCGAAGCCATGATGGGGACACTGCCAGAAAAATCCCGACTACTGCTCCCATGCATCACGAAGTGACTCATCTGGATCTTTGTGGTCTTCAATGCCGGATAGTACCTGTGCACGAACTTGTTGGCCAGATCGTCCCAAGAAGTGATGGACAATGGGGGATGGGTCTCTAACCACCTCTTTGCATGCCCCGCCAGAGAATGGGGGAAGAGGTGAAGGCGGATCGCATCATCGGGTACACCATTCATCTTGAACCCGTTCGTCAGCTGCAGGAACCGGTAAAGATGCACCATTGCCTCCTCATCCTTCAAGCCATGAAACTGGATAGAGGATGTAATGAGTTGAATCCAGCATGGCTTGATCTCGAAGTTGTTCGCTGGAATGGGCGGATAGAGGATGACACAGTTGATATCAGCGACCCGTGGAGTGTAGTAGTACTCCAAAGTGGGACCCGACGGCGGTGGTTGATGATGAACCCCATCTGCCTGGGGTATGGGGTTTTTCCCCAAGATTTGATTTACCGGGGGAACCTAGAGAGGTATTCCCTGGGGCGGGTTGTGTTCACCTTCCATCTCGTACTCGTCCTCGGAATCGCTGCTCAAGTGGCCGTCTATGCGCTCCTCCGTAGCCAGTCTAGCTCGCTATTGTCTCCTAAGTTGGCGACATGTGCGTTCAAGCTCTGGATCCAACGGTAGTAAATCTCCTAACTGGCTATGGGTCATGCACTACCTGCACACAGTCAAGCAGCAAACCCGTGAAGGCACAAGTGGGAAAAAGCAAGCAAAGAATGCTAAAAGGAAAAGCTAAATTAACAGAAACCACGTTTCTTCAGCAGGTCGTCGAGCGGCGACACGGAGATTGAATCGGATGAAGCCAAACTCGGGAAAGCAGCCTGAAATCTAGTTCACAGAGAACCAGATTAGTCATTGACTCACTCCTACTGTCACTCTAGAAAATGGCCAAGTGAAACCACTTCCTAAAGCGTAGTATAGCGGGTTTGGGTTTTAATGTCAACCCGGGTCCTAGATGTGATGACTACTTAGTGAATTCTTATTATCTAGCAGTGAAACTTTAGTGCAAGTCCAAATTAACAAACAAATAAAGCAAGTTAAACGGTTGTTTTCAAGTCGAGAGAGGTCACCCGGATATGGTTCCCCCTAGACTGCAGTTAAGCCGGATTGCAATTTACCAAGTTCAGTTTCCATGGAAGTTATACTGCGGAAGGTTCTTAAACAGTCTGAAGTCTCGACTAAAGGTCTCCAGTCCCTCTCAATCTGAGTCTCCAGCGGGCGACTAACCTCCACCGGAGTAAACAGATTGAGGCCCTAACGAACCAAACCTCCACTACCGAATTGAATTCGGTACAGAATAGCGAATTGGCTCCTCGACTAAAGTCACCAATTCACCACATTCAATTAAGGGTTCTCTATTAACCTAGGCAGATATTCTCATTCTTGGCTAAAGCAGAAATAATAGGAATTTGATCAGGATTCAAGTTATTCAATCATTCAAGCCTCAACTGAATATAATCAAATCATAAAATCTGTACTTGGGTTCATACAATCAGACCTAAGATACAAATCTAGGGTTCTCCATACCCAGATGAATGGGAAAACTACTCCATGGAGAGAGAAGCAAAAGCAGATTCAGACGCGGAAATCATACTGTGAAGGATGGATTTCTGCTCCTGGTTGTCG